TGATCTTCAGAAATCATTCTAATATGCTGATTTATTATTAGAATTATCAACAGTTGTGCAGCCAAATATTTTTAAGTTACGCCTTCTTTCTTTGCGTGAACATTTGGGCGGCGTTATGCAAATCTTCCCACATCGTGACGTAGATATGTTGGGGGCGTGTTAGAACGAGCCATTTTAGGCAGGCGTGGTTGACTCTTAACTTCTATAAAGAATATCTCTTTGGATTTGAGACTTTAGTCTTTGCAACTTTACAGATCTTCTTTATGCACCAAGAGCTTGTAACACTCCAAAGAGAAAGGAAAAATTGAAATCGCATCATATGACCCCTTTAAACTACCAGCTAGCTAGACTGCCCTGTATATTTATAGTAAACACGGCCACCAGAGACAATGAAGTAAAACCTATTTTATTTGTGTGAAATAGGGCTGCAATTGAATCGATTAGATTAAGAATAGAAAATTGGAGTTCACTGCCAGATTGGAGAAAGATTAGTTAGACAGAAAAATAGTATTTTACAATAATGCTTATGGGTCAAAGACAAAACGTCCCATTTTGGTGTCCACATCAAATTAAATTTACAAAAGATTTTATATGGATAAAACTAAAAGCATGTTTCAAATAATTTCCGGGAAAAAAAAGTCAAAATATGGGTAAAATGTTCTATAATCATTCAGCGTTAACAGATATATTTTTGTAAAAAAAAAAAAAAAAAAAACTTTAAACCGCCCGGGGGGGGGGGGGGGATTTAAAACTATATTAAATTATTATTGCTTTGATGTTCGAAAACCCCTTTCTGTCTTTGACTCTTTTATATAACCCGAGTGGCCAAGTGATGTCAGTGGAAAAGGGAAGTCATTATATTTTCTCTTTGGAACAGTATGCAGTGATCAGAAGACCAGGAACATTAAGCAAGGAAAACAGAATTCCAATTTCATGTTGACTTTGAGAAAAAAGATTGATATCTCTGGTGAACAATGTAAAGTATCTGCTAAATAAATATTGCAAGATGTTTTGAAACATACCAGCCTCTTTGTTTGTGAAAGATTTAATGACTTTCAGGATTGAAGGGCTAAGTTTGTTTCTCTGAGTCAAGCAGAAGCTTCCAAAGGTAGCTAGACTGGAAAAGGTTATGTCATATCGAGTTCGGATTATAGAGTTGCCAAAGAGCCACACCTCACCGTTAGACTTGTCTTACGTAAGATGGGAAGTTCAAACCTTTCAGCTTCTCTCTAGCACACATTATTCCTCGTTCACACATTTTAAATGGTCATTAAGCGATCAGACTGAATAGATCAGCCAGTATCTACACGCTGCAGCCCACCGCAACCAGCCAATGGGAGGAGAAAATGTCCCATTATGTTTATAGAAGGTTTTGTGGGATAGTTATAGAGCGAACATGTACTTGGCAGCAAAATTACTGCAGTCTAAAGAAAAGCAACTAGACTCTTTATGAGAGAAAGCAGGTCTGTGTGTTTTTTCTTATTTGCTCTAATAATTAATTTTTTGTTTTAACAGCACAAATGTCGACTTTATGTTGTGTGAAAGGCTTGAGAATAGAGTTGGTGGTCACATTTAGTTTTACTGAACTTGTGGCAGTGTGAATTGTGTTGTGTTGCTAACAATTGGTGACTCAGCTGCTCAGTTTCAGCATTTTTCTATAATCTCTTCCACTGTCATTCTTTCTTTTTCCGTTGTACTTTATATCCTGTTGATTTGTATTGTTTCCTCCACATACTGTGTGAAACTTTCTACTTTAGACGTAAAACCCACATCTGTGATTATCAAGCTATTAAAGCACTCCTCCATTCTGCCGCACATCCATTATTAACTGTTGGTGATGATTTTTCAATCTGTTTAAAGTTGAAACAGAAGTTGCGATGGTCTTTTCTTCTCTACTGTGACGAATGAAGTGCACGTATAAATTATTTATAATAAACACTACAGTATTCCATTAAAAAATACGAATTTTCAATTTCGATTTAATGGTGACTTTAAGGGCTTCAGTGGCTTATATGATTTCTCTGTTGTGGCATCATCTCATCTCCCTTTTTATGGCCTACTTGTATTTATAGTTGCAGATGGGTCACCAGTCCTGTCATTTACCTTTATATTCATCCTTTCGATCATGCCACTAACTGACAAATTAATTTTAGAGGAATAGTGAAGGCATGAACAATGAACAGCTTCTTGGGTTTTGTATTTCTGTGAAAGCAATTCTCAGTGTGATTCTGGTGCTGTTTTGGGGTTTAGGGAATTTTCTTGAATTTGCTCCCAGAGATATTGAAGAAAACAGGATGTGATCTCTTTTTTTAATAGCTTTTTTTTTGGTGAGGGAATGACACTGATGTGATCTTGTGTGTATTATTAGTTTAATATTGATTGGAGGGATTCCATGCGCCACAGGAGAAGGCATTTGACCTCTGACTTTTGGCCTGACTGAAAGAGGAAATGTTTTAAATAGAAATGAGCAAACTAAGGAGTCATGGTTTGGCTAGCTAGTTAATAATAGTACACTTTTGATTTGTTTATGTTTTTGAAAGATGTTTGTTATGCTCACCAAGGTTGCATTTATTTGATCAAAAATACAGTAAAAACAATAATACTGTGAAATATTATTACTATTTAAAATAGCTGATTTCGGTTTCATTTATTTTAAAATGAATTCCTGTGATGATTTTTTTTCAGCAGCCATTACTCCAGTCTTAAGTATCACATGATCCTTGATTTGGTGCTCAAGAAATATGTATTGTTGTTTCAATAGTGATAAAAAAAATGTGCTGCTTAATATTTTTAGGGAAACTGTGATATTTTTTTGGGTCAAGATTCCTTTATAAATAGAAAGTTTAAAAGAACAGCATTTATTTAAAAGAGGTGCATGTACTGCAATATAATATAATTACAAAGCTTTCTAAAACAAAAGGATATTTGATTTATGATGCTGCACAAATGTTCCAAGTACAATGCAAACATGGCACACATGTTCATTTCTGAATGAAGAAGAATATGAAAAAGACATATTGCTGACTTTGCCAGCTAATCAAAGCTAATTAGATTAGAGCTGGTTTTGCTGTAGGACTCAGAATTTAAATTGTACATGAAGTGGTGACACAACACAGCACTAGACTTGTTTATCATGCAAAATTGAATTTCAATATTTTATGCTCTTGGCAGCCAATTGTTGTTGGCACAATCCAACTTTATCCTCATTGCTAGTGAACCAGTATATAATATTCATGATTTTTAAGCATGAGTGCGTAAACCTGTCTATGATGGAATCTACCTAATTTTAATAGATGAGTCTGTGCTAAAACTTTTCTCCCTTCTTTTTTAAAAGTTGCTAAACCGATTTAGTTTGCTCTTCTGATTATGTCAAATTGTGATCATTTAGTTAATTACATTTTAATTTGGGTGTATTTAGTATTGGGTTTTTTTCATACTAGTAGTTGAGAACCATTGCTTTAGGGCAGGGTTCCTCAATAGGCGACCCGCAAGGGCCACATCCGGCCCGTGAGAGAAAAAAGTTTGGCCCGCGCTAATTTCAAATAATGTGGCATGAAAATTCAAACGCAGCATCAGAAAGCTACATTAACTTACATCGTGTCTACACCGGGCTGTCTTGCTTTGTCGCGTCCAGTGTAGATACGATGTGACAGCAAAAACATGGTGAGTGTGTAGAAAAGAAAAGTGGACACGGAAAATAGTTCAAATGTGAATGGACAGAACAGTTTTGACTTTTGAGTGAGTGACTGACTGATATCTTTGTTATAGAATACACGTGTTGGTTCGCAGTGAGTTCAGTTTTAACATACAAGTTTGCTTTAATTTATTTTCAAGATCTGAGGTAACATATCTATTGTTGATTTCACTATGGCTATAAAGATAACGCAAAATAATATTCAAACTCACATTAGACACTTTTCACATTGAATAAAGCACATAATCATTACCGGAGATTATCACTGTCATATTTTGTATGTAATTGTTCCTGCCGCGACTTCGCAGAAAATAAAAACCGTTCCTAAAATAGAATCCCATGTCGCTTCTTGTCACGAGTTGCTGTCTAAAATCAAGAATAATATAATAATTGTAATAATAATAACATATATATATATACATATATATAGGTCAGTGGCCCTTGGCTTGGTATTGTTGGCAGAATTCGGCCCTCTGCGAAAACTAATTGAGGAACCCTGCTTTAGGGTATTGACTCGATGTCTGTGTTTGTGTGTTCAAACAGGCAATGCTGGACCTTCAGGCTGAAGAGTGCTAAATATGCTTCGGTGAGCCCATAAGAAGTAACTCAATCTGATAAAAGCAGACATGAGTGACACGGTGGAGAACCTGGACACCAGGGACCTGGGCTGCTCAGATGCTGAGGATGAACCTGAAATGGTGGACTGCGAGTTCAACCCCTCAGGTAAGTGATTATTAATAAAATCAGGTCCTAAACATTTATTTGTTTTAGTAGTATTGTCGTCTTAGAAGTGCTTGTCTCATTTTTGATGAAGTTTGCGTCATTCTGTTATTTTCCTGTTTATTACTGTGAAGCTGCTTTGAAACAATCTGTATTGTATAAAGCACTGTTTAAATAAAGGTGGCTCTTCTAATTTCAAAATGACTGAATACAAGTTAGACTTGAGGAACAGGATTTATTTTGCCAGTCATTTTTCAAAGAGGAAGTGACAGCAGGTCTGTCTAATCAGACATCTGGACTATATGGGACGTGTGTTAAAAGGAGTGATGTGAGGACAACTGCATAACATGATGCAGCATGTCACAAACAAGCATTCAGCACACACACTAGAGCTCGCATTCGCCGTAGGCATTCCTCAGTCCACTCTGTCTTTTCTTACAGGTGTATCCCGTATCCCATTCTCTGCCGTGTACAGGACAGTTGGCTTTAAAGAGACAGAAGCACAGGTCTATCTGACCGCTGCCCCTATCACTGCCAAGATCCTCGATGTGGAACGCTTCACCAGGGCCCCGGACCGCTTCAACATGTCCAAACACAGGAGCGTGTCCAAGGTCTGTGAAGCACATGCTAGTTAAAAGCAATGGTAGAAAGATGTCACAGATCTCACATCACTGCTGTGTTCACAGGCAATGCCAGCCGTGTTTAAGATAGAGCTCAAACATGGGAACTTCTAATAATTGAATCTGCAATTAGGGAAAGTGAACAGAAGAGATCCAGTCTGGGAATGAGCAGGAACAGTTGATTTGCATGGCAGACATGGAGATCCAGATTTTTTGTTTGTTCGTTTGTTTTTAATATTCAACAGGCAATGTTCTTCTGTATCTAAATGCAAAAATGTTCATAATTATTTGAATAAAATAGACTACTGGGGAAAAAATCTGAATATTCATCTTGTGGACACGGTGGAGAACCTGGACACCAGGGACCTGGGCTGCTCAGATGCTGAGGATGAACCTGAAATGGTGGACTGCGAGTTCAACCCCTCAGGTAAGTGATTATTAATAAAATCAGGTCCTAAACATTTATTTGTTTTAGTAGTATTGTCGTCTTAGAAGTGCTTGTCTCATTTTTGATGAAGTTTGCGTCATTCTGTTATTTTCCTGTTTATTACTGTGAAGCTGCTTTGAAACAATCTGTATTGTATAAAGCACTGTTTAAATAAAGGTGGCTCTTCTAATTTCAAAATGACTGAATACAAGTTAGACTTGAGGAACAGGATTTATTTTGCCAGTCATTTTTCAAAGAGGAAGTGACAGCAGGTCTGTCTAATCAGACATCTGGACTATATGGGACGTGTGTTAAAAGGAGTGATGTGAGGACAACTGCATAACATGATGCAGCATGTCACAAACAAGCATTCAGCACACACACTAGAGCTCGCATTCGCCGTAGGCATTCCTCAGTCCACTCTGTCTTTTCTTACAGGTGTATCCCGTATCCCATTCTCTGCCGTGTACAGGACAGTTGGCTTTAAAGAGACAGAAGCACAGGTCTATCTGACCGCTGCCCCTATCACTGCCAAGATCCTCGATGTGGAACGCTTCACCAGGGCCCCGGACCGCTTCAACATGTCCAAACACAGGAGCGTGTCCAAGGTCTGTGAAGCACATGCTAGTTAAAAGCAATGGTAGAAAGATGTCACAGATCTCACATCACTGCTGTGTTCACAGGCAATGCCAGCCGTGTTTAAGATAGAGCTCAAACATGGGAACTTCACCTGGATAGTCAAGAGAAAAGAGAAGCACTTCATGGAGCTGCACAGAGAGCTTCTGAAATACAAGACCCTTATGAGGATCCCACTGCCCACCCGAAGGTCAGACCCCTGCCCTACAGATAAACTTAACCCATGATCCTTTACACCTGGTATGGAGTTGATCATGGCACTAAATACAAAACATATTATAGTATGCTCACACAAACCACTTGGAAACCGCGTCACATTAGTAGTGTAAATACTACATGCACACCGGACAACATAAAAAGAAGAAACAAGTGTTTGAAAAGTTTGAAAATAGAAAATAACTATCTGATTGAAAGACTTGGAAAAGCCCATATGGATTTCACAGAACATTATTAGTATACACTGACACTTTATCGTTCAGATAAAAGTGGCTTGATGAATTAAATAAATAAATAAACGAATTAATTAAATTATATGTATTAATTTAGTTTAATAAAACGTGAGATCAAAATTAATCTCTTTGTTTTTTTTTTTTACTGTTTTTTCATCATGAAGTTGCACAATGATGTAATGAGTCATTTGTTTAGTTAAGAAACTAATACTTTTTTTCAGCAAGGGTGTATTAAATTGATCAAATTAAAGTGGCAGTAAAGACTTGTATTAATACAAAAAAAGTTCTTTTTTGAAATAAATGCTGTTATTTTTAACAGATTCCTGAAAAACAAATTACAATAGTTTCCACAAAATATTAAGCACCACAACTGTTTTCAACTTTTATAATAAGAAATGTTTCTTAAGCACCAAATCAGCATATTAGAAGGATTTCTGAAGGATGATGTGACACTCAAGACTGGAGTAATGACTGCTGAAAATTCAGAATTTTCAGAATACATTCAGTTTTACAATAAATTAATGACTTAAAATAAAAAAGTTAGATTTTTGTATATGGTTTTGCATCAAATACAATCTTTTTGTGTCTTTAAATTATATTTATTTCAGCATGTGTACTGATTGTTAAAGGTGCTGTATGTACTTTTTTTGACTGTACTAGCATAAAAGTACAATAATGTGTTTGCAGATATTTAGGCAAGATCATGGCACTAAATACAAAACATATTATAGTATGCTCACACAAACCACTTGGAAACCGCGTCACATTAGTAGTGTAAATACTACATGCACACCGGACAACATAAAAAGAAGAAACAAGTGTTTGAAAAGTTTGAAAATAGAAAATAACTATCTGATTGAAAGACTTGGAAAAGCCCATATGGATTTCACAGAACATTATTAGTATACACTGACACTTTATCGTTCAGATAAAAGTGGCTTGATGAATTAAATAAATAAATAAACGAATTAATTAAATTATATGTATTAATTTAGTTTAATAAAACGTGAGATCAAAATTAATCTCTTTGTTTTTTTTTTTTACTGTTTTTTCATCATGAAGTTGCACAATGATGTAATGAGTCATTTGTTTAGTTAAGAAACTAATACTTTTTTTCAGCAAGGGTGTATTAAATTGATCAAATTAAAGTGGCAGTAAAGACTTGTATTAATACAAAAAAAGTTCTTTTTTGAAATAAATGCTGTTATTTTTAACAGATTCCTGAAAAACAAATTACAATAGTTTCCACAAAATATTAAGCACCACAACTGTTTTCAACTTTTATAATAAGAAATGTTTCTTAAGCTCCAAATCAGCATATTAGAAGGATTTCTGAAGGATGATGTGACTAGTATGATTTTACTAGCATAAAAGTACAATAATGTGTTTGCAGATATTTAGGCAACATGCTAAGTTCACATTTTTGTTTCTCCAAAAAATGCTTGTTTTGGTCTGTGTGATTCTGCTCACTGCCAATTTGACCAATAGTATTTTGAAAAACTGGGTTGCCAGTTGTGGGAAAACTCAGTTCTGGGTCAAACATTGCAGGTGGCACCTTTAATATGGCATCTAAAAAATCAAAAGTTTCCAGTTTAATTTGTTCAAATTGATTAAATCCCAGGTATCTCAGATAAATTGCCTCGCATTTTAAGTTAAATTGTGAGAATTCGCCACTCAGGATCGCATGGTTAAAAATTGCAAAACTACTTTCTCAAATTTTTTTCCGCAAAAGCCCTTGCTGAAAGGATTCAGTTGCTTGCAGTACTTTCATTTGGAAAATCCCTTTGAGTAGCATTCTCTTTGTGCACTCACTGTGCCTTTCAAGTGCTGTCTGAAATTCACTCCTCTTCACAAGTGGTCACAGGAGATGCGTTACAGATGCATGTCACTGCTTGCTGTAAGCGCTAATGTGTCTCAACTGACCACTTGTGGTTCAATGGCCCTAGATGGATTTAAATACCAGGTGTAGAGGATCAGTTACTACTCTTCTCATTCTTAAAGAAGCTGTAATAATTCTCCCTTCCTCTACACTCCTTTTTTCACAGTTTTTGTCCTCGTACGTTTCCATTTCTTTTTCTTTTCTCGGTTTTCCCCCATTCTCTCTTTTTTGTTCTCTTCTCAGATTTCATGGCTATTCATTTTCTCCACCAACTCTTTGCTTTTTTCATTCTTCTTTTTTTCTGTCTCACACTGTGATATCTTTGTCTTTCTTTCAGCCACACAGAGAGAAGAAAGAGCATAAAGAGGAGCGAGGTGAGGCAGATGCCTGCACTGCCTCGGGGAGGTGGAGATGAGTTGGCACGAGAGGAGCAAGTGTCTAGTCGGAGAGTGAGTCACTCCAACATGCTTACTGCAGTACTAGCCCTGGATCACATGACAGGAAGTGATCCCATACACTGTTGAGCATGACGTGATCTTGATCGTCCCAAGGCCAGGCGTGTGAGTCTGTGGGCAGGTCTCTCCCACACACTGACATGATTAAGTGGTCTCTGAGTGTGTATGTAGTAACAGCACACTGCTTGTCATATCATTAGTGTGAGTCACATGAGAACATGAGAACATAATCTGCTGATGAAATTCTAAAGATTCGAGCTGTTGAATAGAGCTTAATATCGATTGACTACTTTTTCAATGGCCTGACATTCAGAAGTATATTTCCTGGTAATTTTCTATATAGATGTTTATGGAAAATCTTTCGAAAACTAATGAATGAGTAATTAATCAGCTGATTAGCATACAGCTCTTCCTTTCAGTGAATACATTAGACCTAATAGGCAAACATCACTTTCATAATTCATATTTTAGTGTCTCAGAAAATACTGTATATTCTTAATAATAACTTTCATTAAAGACATTTAAGGAACATTGTGTAATGCTATATTTCTATGTTATGTAATATTGATCAGATATTTAAAGTTCGCTTGCATAAGTAAAATAATAGTAAAGTTAGATTATTTATAGGAGATATATTCATCATTATGATAAATGTAATGAAAACATTGCATTACAATATAACTAACATTGTTTGCTAGATAGCTAAATAATGTTGCATTAAACTGAAAAACAAAACCTGGCTTCACTGCAAAATGAAATAAAAATTATTCCTCATTATTTTTTTGTTTGAGTTGTTGTTTTAAGTGATTTTATGCTTAAAACAATAACAAATGTCTGCCGGTGGGTTCAAAAGGAAAACATGACTGACAGATTTTAATTTTTTTCTGTTTTAATCAAAAACTCACTTAATTTTGGTGCATTTTTCAGAAAACAAGACTTGTCATTGACATTTTGCATGTCTAGTTAATCTGTATTGATTTAAGAATGTTATGATATCTGTACTGGAAAACAACACAGAAATACTGAGGAAAAACATCATTTTTTTGCAGTGTTGATAACTGCAACCTTTGAGCAAATTAAACAATTTAAAACACTTTTAAGAAAATGACATTGAAATCATACTGATATCTATGGAATGGTTTAAATATCATCAACAATATACAGTATTTAGCAATACTTTGAATGGCATTTTTACTTTCTGAGTTTTACTGTTATCTATCATGGAACAGAACCAGTGCCACAGAATCAAACTTTTCAAACCAACTAAC